ACAGAATTCATCATTCATCATCAATGACAGCGGCTACATTATCACACACACAGATCACAGCTGCGCATTATCAACAGATGAGAGGAAATGGTTACACTGCTGTAGATTTAAATCCCTGATCCCGCTCCATAAACAGAAATCTGTACTCACACATTAGAAGTTCATCCAACAGGCCTTTGCTCAGCAGAGTCATTAACAACACTGCTCAAGTCCTATTTCCTGTCTCTGCTGTTCTCTAATGATAGTATAGCCAATCAAGCCAACGTTAGCCTCTGGCTGCTTGTCAACATACTAACATTCCATAAACTTGAAATGTGGTGAGTAAAAACGGATCTAATATTGTCAGTTTAGCAGTGAACTCCTCCTGTTCTCTTCTATCCTTCCTCTCCTGAGCGCCGCTCCTTTTTTGGACCTGTTAAACATTATGATGCAAACTGAATCATCCATTTCCTGAAGAACACCTGCGGCTAAGCACATTGGTCAGATTAGGATTTCCCAGCAGGCCTTACTTCATAACTTTTGAGAAGAAAGTTACCAACAAGTGGTATATACATATTTACCACTTGTGGGTAGAAATATGAATATATTTATATAAATTAAATAAATATGTATTTATTTCTAATAAAATATGCAGTCCTGGAACATCTCAATTAAAGCAATAAAATATAAAAGGCTTAAAGTGCATGATGGCTTCTTAAGAGCCACTTAGCAAGGCAGCATACCTAGGCTGAGGTTGAAAAATCTTTTTTCTCAGGAAGGTTCAAACTGAGTGAAATGAGCTGAAGTATCTGAGCAGCAGCCATGATCAGAGCTGCTACACTTCTCTACATGATAAGGAAAGGAGCTTCAGAACTTCCTATCTTATCCCCTTCAGCATAGGAAACACTGAACCTTCCTTTAGGAAAGGAAAGGAGAAATGCCATCACACAATTCCTTGCTGCAGCAACATTTTAAATGACGAAACAAATGTAGAAAATGTAGAATGTAAATGTAGAAATATCAGAGCAGCTGTTCTATGTTTGTGACACAATCCAGAACTGATGGAAATCTTTGTCCAATCGACTGAAGATTGACTATAGGTTTCTTCTTCATTATGAAGAACTAGCAGATCTTTATCATCTTCATAACAATCCCAATGCTGTTTGAAAACCCCCGCTCACTGCACGAAAAAAATCATTTTCTCCACTTAACATATAAAAAAGTCAAAATTAATAAAATATAAATAAAATCTACTTACGTCTGAATATAATTAATTCTAGTCTTACTCAGCTGCTTGTTTTTATTGAATTATTATTTTAAAGGCTCAACTCTTTCTACTTGTATATATCTTTTCTGTTTTGGGTTTGTTTTAAAGAAAGGAGTAGGCAGACTATATGCCATCCTTCTGTTATAAATAAAGATTGTTTTCCTGTCCTTCTCCTTCACACCGTTCCATGACTTCAGGACATTTTCCATCGAAGTCGAGAAGAAGAGGTTAGAGAGGAGATTATTTAGACTTTTTGACCACAGCCCTATTCTCTACTTGGCAATCTTTAAGTCTCAGCAGAAATTGAGAGAAGAAGTTGAGAAGTGGATCATGGTGATATTGTCGTTGAATCCTCATAACAATGCTGAAGAAGAATAAATGTAATTATGGAGTTTGGCTTTGTTGAAGAGTCAATAATGGCTCAATTATCGTGTGTTTTCACAGCTGCAGTAACACAATTGGTGTAATTGTCAAGAGTTGCTACAGCTGCTCCCTACATTCATTTAAAACGGTTAGGTCCGCCCTCGCTAATTAGCAGTGACGTCCAAACGGAGCTCACCCTTAACTCCCTGTGATCCATGAGTGACTTTCATTCCTGAGTTTATTGAGGTGCTGCTTTTAAAATGCTACCAAACCGACTCTCCTGGCTGAACAATGAAAGTAAAATAACAAACTAGACAATTCAAAATAAAAGGGTCATTATTATTCAAACAACTCGCATATGATTATTCACATGAACCAAAACACACTTAACAGTAACAACCCCCTAACGCCCCTGATGCTGGTGACGTAACAATAAGCAATACCTGGGGGATGCTACAATAAGCGTTTGTTATTAATCATCCTGTTGCTTTCTATTCACTGCACAGTGTTGGCACAATGTCATCCTGGGCGTCATTATTAGTCTTGTAGAGAGAGTTTTATGCTCAAGGCTGTCTTCATATTTTGGCTGCACGTTGCTGGACGCAGATATTTTTATTCCTGATTTAAAGGTTTTGCCTGTGGGACAAAATAAGGCCCCTTCCACTTGCAGTGGCTCCAAGTGGACGTCCAATTCTCATGTACACTGTCCCTCGTCTATTTGAAGGACAAGATCAGCTAATGAAAGTCTCTCTGGAAGCAGAGCAGGCTTGAAAACAGAGAGGACCTTATCCTTGTGGTGAAACAGTATTCAGCTTGTGATGCCTTATAATGGCCACAGAGCTGTATCTCTTCTGAGAGCATATATACTTCAAGACTAAGAAATTACCCCAAGGATTCTGGAGCATTAAGACAAGGACAAAAATAAATCATAACCATAATGTTTCCATTTACTCTACAGAGAAAAAAGAGAAATAAAAGATGCATAAACTAGAATCACCTCCTGGTGGTTGTCTGCCTCCTCCACTCAGACTAGTTTCAGGTTGCATCCTGTTTATCCAGAGTCATAGAAAATATTTGTATGAAATTTTGTCATAATTGCTGTGTGAAGTTGAGTATGGCTAAAAAATGTTTTCTGAGGTTACCAAGCCCTCGAACTTTGACCTTTGAACCCCAAAATCTAATCAGTTCATCCTTGAGTCCAAATGAACGTTTGTGCCAAATTTGAAGTTGTTGAGTTACTGGGATATCGTGTCCATGAGAAAGGGACGGATGGACAACCTGAAAACAATATTCCTCCAGCTCTGAATAAAAATACAGATTATAAAACATATGATATCTAATTAAAGCGCAAGATGAAATAATTAAAAGAAGGTTTAAATAAGGCAGATTGGGCAGATTTGATCTCCACTGGGAGCTGGTTCCAGCAGGGGGCAACATAATGGCTGAAAGACATTTCACTCTGTTTGTCGTCCAAGTGCCTGATGCTGGCCTTGAATTTGTCACATAATACCATTTGGGAAGACTCTCCAGGTCCTGAGTGCGTACTTTGAGATATGGTGATGTCAATGTGTGACTCTGGAGTGTTGTAGGGATTCCACTGAGGGGTTCACCTGCTCTGGGAGAAGCTTATCTGAATCTATTTGTGACATAATAATGAGGATGAATAGGATCTAGGAATAAGACGTGGTTTGCCAAGGTATTTCAACATGTGAAAGAGTGTGTTGGTGTAGTTATGTTTACTACTACCATGTTTTCTGTGCTTCAGGAGAACGGCCGACCAGCTTGTATTTCTCATTTTTTCACCAATGATGCCAAAGACATTTATCAACGCTTGTCGATAAATTCACAGAATGTCTCTTGGCAATATTCTGTGAAACTACTAACAGCCTCACTTACTGATAGATCTCTGTGACCTGCCACAATACAAAAAAATGTCAGTCAGATAGGGATCTGTTTTGGATCACTCGTAGCAACGCTTCCAACCAGTAGCCTAACATTAAATGGGATTTGCCCCGGTGCAAATATTTCTCTTGTGCCCCTAATTGAACACAGTCTCACAACAACCCATTGAAGTTTTTGGTCTCATCACTTCTTTGACTTGTTCTCCTTGTTGTTGGAATGAAGTTGAACATCATGAAACTTCAGGATTTATTTTGTCCTTCTCATCTAGTCAGCGCCTGGACATGGAAAGATAACCCACTGCACTGTTACCAAGGCTGGCTACCGCAGTGAAGTTAGTTTAAGGTTGATCATTTGACCTCTAGATCCAGCAGCGTCTTCTTCCTCAGTTTCACCCAGTGTTGGCAGCAAGAGGATAGTCAGCCCAGCTCCGAGCCCTTGCTCTGGAACATTACAGGTGCACAGCTGTTGCTGCCTAATATCCAACCTAAAACCAACTTCACTGTGGTGGACAGGCTGGCTAACTAACCATAAATAAAGTTGACCTTTAAAAACAATAAAATACATGTTTTACAAGAAGTGGGCGACGTACAGTCTTACGGTTCAGTGCAGTGTTGTTGTTTTGGGCCAGTCCACCGCAAACTTATCTGGTTATGATGTGAATAGCTATCACTATTTTATAATAATAAGTTATCACATAAATAAATAGTATATTGTTATAACAAGAGATTTTTCTTGTGGTAAGTTTGTTTGATATAAGTCTGTATGTCCTGATAACATGAAAATATCTTTTTACATTAAAGACATCAACATACAACAATTAGCTTAGCTAGATAACAATAATAATAATGATAATAATAACTAGCTAAGTGAACAAATGGAAACGAATGGAACAAACTATGCTGAGAGTTCCCACTACTCTGGAGAGAAAGGATACGTGTTGGCCTGATTTTAAGACAATATTTTTTCTGTTAATTAGGGGCTGGATGGATTATAAATAATACTAACAACTTCTCTAAAAATAAATAAATGGTCTTTTCTCATTTCAAGGAAAATAAGGGTTGTAATGAGAACATAACAGAGAGCTTTTGAAAAATGGGAAAAATAAAATCATACCAGTCTCAACCATTTTCGTAATAAATAATCTCAACACATCTTAACAACAGCTTTAACATGTCCTGTTCTCTTTCTTTCCCTCAAGAATCACAGATGTCACAACTCAACTCAACCACTTACTTACTCTTCATGCTAATGTCTGGCTGCACTGTGCAAAACAAGAGCCAGTGCTGTTGTTTTATATATTTCAAAATGATAATGGTCTTTAGTGGTTTTTAGTAAAATAACATACCATTTTCTTGGGGGACCGTCCCCAAAACCAAAGCAGACACTGTGCTGTTTTTGATGCAAAATGCATCAATTCCATTCAAAGGCTTAAGATAAGGGTGTTTTATTTCTTCACTACAAACAGCAGCAGTAGGAACAGGTTACTCACTGGCCACCAAACAGCTGCATGCCCAGCAGAGCGAAGACCACGATGAAGAGGAAGAGCAGGAATAAGAGACTGATGATGGACTTCATGGAGTTGAGGAGGGACACCACCAGGTTCCTCAGAGAGTTCCAGTACCTACACACACAGACAAACTGGATTATATCTGACATGACCAGTGTTCCCAGCACACAGACACACATTTTTGATGACTCACTTGGTGACTTTGAAGATCCTGAGCAATCTCAGAGCTCGCAAGACACTAATGCCAAATGAGGCCCCAGGTTTGATGGCAGCCCAGATCACCTCAAAAATACTTCCAATAATCACCTGTGAACACAGTCTGATCAATTATTTTCCAAACACTGTCATTCTTTTAATTCTGGAAATAATCTGGAACATTACACAAATTATACTCCACATGCTCACACTCTGAAACACACTGTGCACTGACTGAACTCCCAGCTGAATGAGACTCACCCCAAAGTCAAAACAATTGAACGAGGAGTGGAAGTAGTTCTGAGGTCCCAGGCCGTACATTTTCATGGACATCTCTGCCAGAAACAGGCCCAGGAATACAAACTCAGCCAGGTCTGTCCAGGGGGAGGAAGAAAACACACAGATCAATGACCCCGGTTAAAAAGGGCCCTGCTGCTTTTTTCCACAATTCAATAGAGCTGAGCTGCTGCTGCCTGTTCAGCTGTGTCCACAGCAAACAAGACACAGAAAGAGTCTGTTGTTTCGGTAGATAATCGCCGCACTCTCCCATGTTGGAGTGTGTGAGACGTGTGTTTGCTCATGTTTTTTTTCTGCAGTTTCTCTGTTGGAGACTAAATCTAAGGCAACACAGCCATGTCTTTTCATTGAACAGAAAGAGAACAAAAGGAAACAGGTGTCTTACAATATCAGTAAACAAGCAAGGCTATGTTACAGTTATTTGAAGTGTCTTACAATGGGTAGAATTTAATAAAGTTGGTCTATATCCAACCTTTTTATACGGGTGAATGGTTAAAGCTGATTGAAAGCTGAGGTTCCACCTTCACAGGGTCAAGGGAACTCAAACTGGCTACAAATTGTACTTACTATACCTTGTTATTAATGTGAATCCTGCTTTCTGATGGCAAACATTAATTAGCTAGCATAGCCTCCAGTCCTGTCTACAGATGTCCAAAAAGGCCATACTCGCAAATATTTTTTATCCCGTTATCTCAAGATAACAAAGCTCAATATCCCGAGATAACAAGATATTATCAGGAGAAAACGAATTTGACTGAACCTTGTACATTAAGTCGCAGTAACACTCTTAGCAACAATCCTTAGTAACTCATTAGCTGACAAGGACTAATCTGAAAATGATCTTGTATGAAAAGACATAGTGTGATTTCCGCCCTTGACTGAAATATTCTCTGATGCGTTGATTAATGCATCATCCGGACATTTTCAACAATGTAATTATTATGAGAAAACAAGCTTTGTTATCTAGAGATAACAGGATAAAAAAATATTTGTGGGTATGGCCTTTCTGGGCTTCTGTACCTGTCACATACTGGCATCTTGAAATGATTCTGTTGCAGTTACAGTTGGCAGTAATGCATTTTAATGCAGTGCTCCTAAGACAGTATTTGTATTTGTTTAAGCAACACTGAAACAAAACTATGTGACTTTTGTGTCCACTGTGGTCTCCAGTGATAATCTCAGGATAATATTAAATGCTAAAACAGTAGCACCAGCAGAGAGGAGTCAGCACACTGGCTCACTGTTGTCAGTCATAAATGTACAACAATCTTTAACATTATCCACCATAAGCTTCTGATACCAGTACAAGTAAAGCTGTAGTAGGTGAAACCACTGAGTGTTTTGAATTAAACAGTAGTGGGTTTTATTCATTATGAGTTCAACTTTTTTATTTATAAGAGGTAAATTGCCATTACTTAGCTTCATTTTGAATTCTCTATGTAGTAAAAACCAGGTCAGTGGTTAAATGTGTTATAAATTATCTAATACAATAATACTAATAAGGTTGCTCGTGCTCACATAGGGCATAGGTGAGCCACTCCGGCTGGTCATAGTGTACTATGGCTACACACAATGTGTTGAGGCCAACCAGACACAACACAGTCCAGTAGAAGCTCTGGGACTTGACCAGACGACGGATGGTGAAGCGGATCCTCTTCTCTTTCCTCCTGAAGTAGGACGAGTTCTCGTTCTTGCTCTTCACGCTGGCCCGGGCAAACGGCGACCCTGGGGGGGCAGTTGGAACAAAACATACAAAATGGCAATAAAGTTACCGAGCCTAAGACTGAGGTGGTCTCACCAAATCAAGACTGGGTTGAGTGGAGTTGCTTTGGTTCTAACATCACGACAAGATTCAATTATCTGACTTCAGAGAAATGTAGTGAAGTCAGCACTCTCCAGTACAGGCCAGCATACATCTTATAAAGGTGAGTTCCACTACTGCAGTTCTAATGATGGGACAAATGGAATGAATGAATGAATGAATGTGATATAATTAACTTATACATTCTCCATATTGTGACAAGCTTTAACTGTGATGTAACCAGAGTGAAGCGCTGGAGTCTTCACGTCTCCTCTCCCTGCTCCCATTTAGCCTGTACTATATTAAACCTCCTGTAACTTAAATCAAGCCCAAATGTCAAGTGGGACAGGACACAAGGAGGAAGGAGAAAAATGGTTCTATTAGAATTTCATTACTGGCACAGGAAGACGAGTGAGCTAATTATTTCCTCGTCTATTTTAATCCAGACATCTGAGTCTGACTGTAACACCTCAAGTCCCACTCTAACACATCTACGTTTTCACAGTAAAAACAAATGTTTTTTTTAATAGACTTTTGTAAACAGTGTGTGTTTGTTAATAAGTAGTACCTTTTTAAAATTCTTTCTTTCTTTTTCTAATATTGTTTCTGCCTCTATCCATGATTTCCTTATCCGACAATATCTACAACTGTAATTAAGATGTTTATCTCAGTCTTGATCAGTGTGCTCGCGCAGTTGTCCTGTTGAGGTTCTGCAGAGGAAAATCCTCTTGAATTTGGCCCATTATATAGAACTATATCTCTGCCCCCCCTGGCTGGGAAGGAATATGATTTTTTTTTAGATTTTATTTGAAGAGAGAGAAACAGGAAAGGGCATGAGAGGACCATGACATGAAACAAAGGTCTGTGTCTAGGACTCAAACTGTGGACATTGTACACAGTGTTTTGTTACACTAAGTGCATCTGTCATGGTGTAAATTTTACACCATGCACATGCTCTTTTATATGAGTATCTCATAACAAACTAGCTACCTCAGCGGTCAGTATTAAAGATCCATACAGTATAAAGGTAGATGTCCATGTGTTGTTTGATTATAAAGCAGGTCTAGGTTCTATATTAGTACTGTGAAAGTATAAAATCCTCAGTCCACAGAGAAATGCACACAGCCTGTATTCAGAAACTGAGCCTTAAAACCAGCTGGAACTTTGTGATGTCACAACAAAGCAGACACCAAGCCCCACTCACCTGGACCCACCACCCAACCTTGCAGGATTAGGTTTGTCTAATGAGTGTTTGCCTGATATCTGCTATATTTTTATTGGATCACTCAGAAAACAGTCAGCCAATCAGAAGAGAGTCTCAGAGCCTACTCTCTTCTGATTGGTTCACTGACCTGTTGTTACTAGAGCTCCAGAGAGAAGCCTGAGAGAGGAGAAGTAAAAAAGTGTGAAATATGGCACCTTTAATGGATCTACATGCGAGCTATGGCAGCTGTTGAATTCTTAGATCAACCACAGGACCTCAAGTGGACTCTCATAAACAATGGTATTTTAGCCACAGTCACAGCCACATTATTATTTTAAAATTGATAAGGAATCACAATAAGCTTCAGCGCAATATTCTCAAGTCTCAATTCCTTCATCTTTTCCATGAAACTGTGATTTTAGGTTTGATGTTTGTTAATTATTGCAACATGAGTGATGTAAGAAGCATCATTTTGCACAAATTTGCTCATGCAGACTTCATTAAAACACTCATTGTCAGTGTTGTGCCTGAACGTCATATTTTAAGTGAACTGAACGAATCAGTTTACAAATGATGATAATACGATAATACGAATAAAATAATAATATAATGAGAATGAAGTTGTAATTTTAGGTTCCGTGTTGTTCTAGAGGGGAAATATCAGAGGTTTTAAAATGAGGAACGTGGAGCATCCTGTGAAGTTATACTGCAGCAGAGGTTTCACAAATAAGGAGATACTTCATCTTTTGACTCATCATCATCATCATCATCATCATCATCATCAGCATCATCATCATCATCATCATCATCATCAGCACCAGGACATTGAAAAGATTGTGAAGAAACTGAGTCTATTCTATTGTTAGACAACAGCAGCTGCCAGAAGCAGCTCAGGCTGAAATTAATTTCTCACAATTTTGTTTCAAATTTTAGAGAGAACATGAGATCTCTCAACCACAGAGAAGAATTTGGGGGATGAGATGATGATGTCTCTCTCTGTTTCTATGTTTTTGTGTGTTTTTGAAGTCTGATCTTTGTCACCCTTTATCTTGGAGACTTGGAATAATATGGCAAATATTGTGTGTCAGGTGTCATCCTCACCAACAGATGAGATGTCAGTGAAGTGGTCCTCGCCTTCCTCTGCGTTGATGAGGTCATTCTTACTCTTCTTTGTCCTTTTCAGCACTGCAAATACAATATAGAAAGAAATCAATCACACACGCCATAAAGCAGATAAACTGATTTAACTCTGATTCTTAAAGCTCTTAATAAAGTTCAGTAAGAAACATCCTTTCTCTCATAATTCCTCTTTGATTCTGCTCAAGGTGAAAATCTCTCTCCCACTCTGACCTGTAGATGGTAAATGGACTGCACTCATACAGCGCTTCGCTAGTCTTAGAGACCATTCAACATGAGCCACAATCACCCATTCACACACACATACATCACAGTCACTGATGAAATAGCCATAAGGGCAATTTGGGGTTTAGTATATTGCCCAAGGACACTTCAACACACAGCAGAATGTGTGAGTAAACACACATTCACACATACATCAAAGGGGGGTGTTGGTGGAAATGACCTGATAACTCAGGAGGCTGCCCAGATGGTGGTGAGTCTAACAGTATGGAACAAGCCAGTTGCATATATAATATAGTGTTACTGTTACTGTATTTGACTATATATTGTTTGAAAAAATGAAAAATATTTCAACCTATCTGCTGTGTTGACCCGAGACTTTGGTGCATGCCAGCTTGTTACAAGCATACGTTCACCCACCTGTCACTCAAAGCAACACGCCCTCAATTCTCCATAACTTTAAGCCTTGTTAAAATGTAAACAGGTGAGTTATTTAAACAGGTGTCATGAAGGAGGAAATAAGCTATAGAGACGAAAACTGTATTTTGTACCAGGCTGTAAACATGTTTATATATGCTGTAAAGTTAGACGTTTTAACATGGGAACATTTTTCAGCCTCAGAGTTTGCCGCTTGTTTCTGAAGAGTGGTTTTGAAGCTCAGAGTCAGATGCTCCACCACCACCATCTTGGCAGTGTCTGACTCCGCCCCTAACTTCCCGCTAATCCAAAAATGGTCAAAAAGGTGAGGTGTGTGTGGAGCCAAGACTTTGGTGTATGTCTGTTTGTGGCAAACATATGCTCACTCACATGTCACTCAATGAGGCCACAGCCTCAATTCTCCATAACGTTAAGCCTTAATAAAATGTAAACAGGTGAGTTATATAAACAGTTGTCATGAAGGAGGAAATTAGCTCTTGAGACCAAAACAATTTTTTGTACCAGGCTGTAAACATGTTTATTTCTGCTGTAAAGTTGGACATTTTAACATGGGAGTCTATTGGGATTGTCTCACTGTTGGAGCCAGACTCTAGTGGTCAGAGGAACTGCAGTTTCTCCCACTTCATTGTTCAGTTCACTTCAGCTCCGCCCACAGGTGAGATGTCACAGTGAATACGCAGCATTCAGGTGAAAGTGACCTTCCAGAATTTCCTCCACTGAAGAAACCGCTAAAGAGGCCTCAGACAAAGAAAGAGCACAGAGCACAGGTGGACTGGACTGAGGACTACTGGATCATATCAGTTTTCAAAGTTTGTACCAGCTCCATCAGTGTCATTCATGCAGCCAGTCCCAGTGGATCAGTCCAAGGCTAAATTTCTTTCCCAGTCTGACCCTGGAGCCAATACTGGTCTGTTTTTTTTCTCACTTAAATTTTTATTAGGTTTTCACATGAACATAGACAAAACAGTATATCAGGAACAAGACAGAATAACACATATACACAAGTAAATACAAAGTAAAATCACATTGGAGTTGTCTGTAAATATTTCAATACTCGTACCACTATTAAGTTGGGCCTTAATTTAGTCTGTGTTGTCCTTTTCAAATGTATTCTTTCGGATTCTCAAAAAATGTCAACTTTTCCATGGTGACAGTGTCTTTGACAATTTCTAACCACTGTTCCTGATTTGGAGCATTTACATTCAGCCAGTTTCTACTAACAGCTTTCTTGCTTGCTGCTAGTAAAACTTTGGCCAGGTAGAAATCTTCTCACATAAAAAAAAAAATCTTTGTTTACAAGATCATATTTTGCCTTTAAATGTTGGAAAAACATAAATTCCCCATTTTTTGAAATTGTGCATATTGCCGTCATGCCTTTTTGTGTCCATTCTTTTAATATTGAGTCATACATCCCTGGTTTGAAATTTGAGTCATATGCAACCCACCTCAGTATAGGAACCTCCCTCTTTAGTTTGTATTTTTCTATAACATTTCATATTTCTAGTGTAAATGTTATTATTGGATCCATGGCATGTCTCATAACCCCTGCCAAGTATTAGTCCCTCAACAAAATTTGGGTCTGGTAACCCTGAATTTCCCTTTCCATTTCTTTCCATTAAGACTCGTAGTCCGGTCTGCTCTGTTTTTGTTGTATTAAAATAGTATCCATATGCTTCCAGTAGTTTCATTAGGATAGGGAAACATATATCTGTTCATTCAAGAAAAATAATGACATTGTCCGCAAAAAGTCCAATGACATGTTCTTTTCCCCCAATATTAACACCTTGTAGGTCTTCATTCTGCCTTATGGCTTGTGTTAGGGGCTCGGCATATGAAGCAGAGAGTAGGAGAAAGACAACAGCCCTGCCTTGAGCCTCTCTCCAACTGGATCTTATTAGACAGGTTTCCATTTACCTTAATCCTGGCTGTGGGCTCTTGATAAATAGTTTTAATACACCAAACTGCATTTTCACCCAAACCAGATCTCTTTAATACTTCATATAAAAACACGCTTTTTCTGCATCCAAACTAACCAGAACCATACTTGTACCTTTTTTTTGAACATTGTCTACAATCTCTCAGAAGAACCCTCCATGGGTTCTTCCTATGTTTGATGCCCACTAATAAATCCAGTTTGCTCTTCATCAATCAGGTCTGGTACGAAACTGTCAAATCTTTTGCAAATGATTCAGGTAAACAAATTGTAGTATACATTTAAAAGTGAGACTGGCCTAAAGTTTTTGCATTGTTCTTTATCTTTGCCTTCCTTAGGTAAGATGGTAATAATTGTTTCTTTCCATGATGGAGGAGCCCTGCTCTCTTTAAGGGTCCAGTTAAAACAGGACCAAAGCAAAGGTGTTAGCTCTTCTCAAGGACCTTGTACCATTCTGATGGAAACCCATTGCTACCAGGTGATTTAATGGCCTTTAGTCTCCTGATTGTTGATTCCAGCTCCTTTACTGTAATTTCTGCTGTAATGGTATCATTCTGTATCTCACCAAAAGATGACAGGACAGGTGAGTTAAGAAAAGCCCTTTTTTCATTAGCTGATGGTGGTTTGGTATAAAGTTTCTTATAGTACTCTTCAATTAATCTTTCTATTTCGTCTGGCTTATGTAATAATTGGTTGGTTTGAGGGTCTCTTATTTTATGGATTGTGTTAGGTGCCTGCTTTTTACACAGGCATCTGGTTGCTTTTGGACCCGATTCATAATAAGTCTGCTTTACAAATCTTGCCCTTTTTTCTATATCTGCCCTGAATATCTCATTAATCTCCCCCCTTGTCTCCATAATTTGTTGTGGTACCAACTGATCCTGTGTTTTCTCTCCAGTTCTCTTACTCTTTCTACTAGAGCCCGACCGATTTCTCAATATTGGCCTATCACAGATATATCCATATCAGCGCATATATTCTCCGATATACTTTTATTAAGAAGCAATAATGCAGTGGAAATGCTCGGGTCAAGTCTAGTTATATAAGCAGTATTTTATGTATATTTGATCCTTTGTTTTCATTCAAGTTAAATATATATATATATGTATAAGCTGTATATATCGGCCGATATATTGATATCAAAATTTTTTTACTCCATAATATCGGTATCAGCATCGGCCCCAAAAATCCAATATCGGTCGAGCTCTGCTTTCTACTTTGTGTTTGTATGTGACTAACCGTGTCTTTTTTTATGTTGTCAGGGCGATCAGCTTTCCTGCTTTCATAGCAAGATCCACATCTCCATTATCATTCCCTTCTTTATATCTTTTTATCTCTTCCCTTATCTGTTTCACATTTGTTTTATTATTTAAATTACCCACATTAAGCCTATATACTGTATTTATTTTTCTGCTATTCAGGTGTATTGTCAAGCTGATTGCATTGTGATCTGATACATCTGCCACTCCAATTTTAAACTCTGTGGCCCTGTAACTTTCACCGGTGTTCATTAAAATCATCTATTCTGGAGTACACACAATGTGGTACTGAATAATGTGTGTAATCTCTTTCTAGAGAGTGAAATTATCTGTAAACATCAATATATCCTATTTTCTGCACCAATGTGTTAATACATTTAGTCAGATGCATCTTGTTTTTCTCAAGACTTGCTGTATCCAAATGGTTATGGTTATGGTTCATGACTACATTAAAATCCCCTCCATATATCAAAATACCTTCATTCTCTAAGGCAATAATGTCAAACAAAGTTTTAATTTGATCAGTGTCACAACATTGTTTTCCAGCTGTCCTTTCACTAATACATACCTCCAGTCTTTTCCCCAATTTCTTTATGACATTCGAATTGGACTGCATTTGTAATAAGGATAGCTACCCTCCTCCTCTGGCTAGGTTTGTAAGAACTATAGAATGATTTCTAAAACCAAACCATTTTAATTTCTCATGTTCTTGTTGAGGAAGGTGGTTTCTTGTAGAAATAATACTTTAGCCTTTTGCTTTTTCAATTTAGCAAGGACCTTTTAACTGGGTTATTCATTCTATTTACATTAAGTGACACAAATGTTATATTGTTATGTGGCATTTACATTACCCAGTCCAGCATTGCATTTATAAAACTCCAGACTACTTAAAATAGCACAGACCTGACCATCTGGACAACATGTGCCAAATAAGGAAAATAAAAAAGAAACACTTGACTTCCAAGTTAGGCTGATTCTTCGCCACCATGAGTCCCAGTCTGAAGGCAGAGGGGAAAGCCTCCTCCCAGAGGGCCCCTCACTAGAAGTGAAACAGGCCATTTCATACATCCTAGTAGTCCAACATCATGCCTTTAATTTGCAGTCCAATCGATGTCATCAGCATTGATCAGAGATGATTTAGCCCCATATACAGTGCATCCGGAAAGTATTCACACCCCTTCACTTTCCCCACATTTTGTTATGTTACAGCCTTATTCCAAAATGGATTAAATTCATTTTTTCTCATCAATCTACACACAATACCCCATAATGACAAAGCAAAAAAGGTTTTTTAGAAATTCTTGCAAATTTATTAAAAATAAAAAACTGAAATATCGCATGTACATAAGTACTTTGCTATGACACTAAAAAATGAGCTTAGGTGCATCCTGTTTCCACTGATCATGCTTGAGATGTTTCTACAACTTGATTGTAGTCCACCTGTAGTAAATTCAATTGATTGGACATGATTTGGGAAGGCACACACCTGTCTATATAAGGTCCCATCTATATATAAGGTTCCACTGTTGACAGTGCATGTCAGAGCAGAAACCAAGCCATGAAGTCAAAGGAATTGTCTGTAGACCTCCGAGACAGGATTGTATCGAGGCACACATCTGGGGAAGGGCACAAAAATATTTCTGCAGCATTGATGGTGCTGAAGAGCACAGTGGTCTCCATCATTCGTAAATGAAAGAAGTTTGGAACCACCAGGACTCTTCCTAGAGCTGGCCGCCCAGCCAAACTGAGCAATCGGGGGAGAAGGGCCTTGGTCAGGGAGGTGACCAAGAACCCGATGGTCACTCTGACAGAGCTCCAGCGTTCCTCTATGGAGATGGGAGAAACTTCCAGAAGGACAACCATCTCTGCAGCACTCCACCAATCAAGCCTTTATGGTAGAGTGGCCAGACGGAAGCCTCTACTCAGTAAAAGGCACATGACAGCCCGCTTGGAGTTTACCAAAAGGCACCTAAAGGACTCTCAGACCATGAGAAACATGATTCTCTGGTCTGATGAAACCAAGATTGAACTCTTTGGCCTGAATGCCAAGTGTCACGTCTGGAGGAAACCAGGCACCTCTCATCACCTGGGTAATACCATCTCTACGGTGGAGCATGGTGGTGGCAGCATCATGCTGTGGGGATGTTTTTCAGCGGCAGGAACTGGGAGACTAGTCAGGATCGAGGGAAAGATGAACGGAGCAAAGTACAGAGAGATCCTTGATGAAAACCTGCTCCAGAGCGCTCAGGACCTCAGACTGGGGCGAAGGTTTACCTTCCAACAGGACAACGACCCTAAGCACACAGCCAAGACAACGAAGGAGTGGCTTCAGGACAAGTCTGTGAATGTCCTTGAGTGGCCCGGCCAGAACCCAGACTTGGACCTGATTGAACATCTCTGGAAAGACCTGAAAATAGCTGTGCAGCGACGCTCCCCATCTAACCTGACAGAGCTTGAGAGGATCTGCAGAGAAGAATGGGAGAAATACCCCAAATACAGGTGTGCCAAGCTTGTAGCTTCATACCCAAGAAGACTTGAGGCTGTAATCGCTGCCAAGGGTGCCTCAACAAAGTACTGAGTAAAGGGTGTGAATACTTATGTACATGCGATATTTCAGTTTTTTATTTTTAATAAATTTGCAAAAATTTCTAAAAAACCTTTTTTGCTTTGTCATTATGGGGTATTGTGTGTAGATTGATGAGAAAAAAAAGGAATTTAATCCATTTTGGAATAAGGCTGTAACATAACAAAATGTGGGGAAAGTGAAGGGGTGTGAATACTTTCCGGATGCACTGTATGTACACCAACGTCAAAAATAGTAAAAGAAAAAGGAAGATAACTTCCAGGCAAGTTAGTCCATGACAAAGCAATAATTAGTTAGAGGGGTCCACTCAAACTCCTGTAATCTTTCTTTGCCCCACACGCAGTCTCATCTGTATTCCTCTCCCCCGCACACTGACATGTTGTAGCCTGAAGAAGTTGCTCCATCTCAGGATCCGGATCCGTTGTACTGCGGCCTGGTGTCTCCATGGGATAACCTCTCCTCTTCAGTTCCTGCGCTGCGTCCTGTGCACTGCCATATGTGTGTGTTCCTGAGTCCCAGTGAATGTGCATCTTGTCAAGCGGGTCTGGAAATGATTGCCTTTCTCCTTTAGGACCCTCTTTATTCCCGTATATGCCTTGCTTTTCTGGACAACCTGCATAGTCGTCATCGAACGCCAGGCATCACCCTTCAACAATAGTTGGGTTCTGGTTTACGAGCCAGAACCCTGTGGCCGCGCTGGATCTGTAGATTGGTTTCTGGTTCAATTGTGAGTTCAGTCCTCCAAAGTTGTTCCACAAACTCAACCGTGGAGTTGCGTTCTTTCTCTTCGGGTACACTGTAAATGCAAATGTTATTTCGCCTAGGCCGTCCTTCCAACTCACCTTCCAATTTTTACGACTTAATCAGAGCTTCTTTCATGGTCATGTTACTTGTCTCGACCTCTTCATCAGGCTTCTGCTTCAGTCAGTCCGGTTTCGTTAGCCTGGATTCATGTCTAGTTAGCTTTTTTGTTAGTTTTTGGTAAATTTCCTGATTCAAGTCTCTGGGTTCGATTTTCATGTCTTCTTTGAGTTCTTCTTTGAGTTTGTTTAAATCCACTTTATGTTTAGTTAGGTAGAAGTGCATGAGGAGAAGTTGCGAAGAAGTGGTTAATAGGGCCGACACAAAGGTGACCAGGGGTAATTGGGGCTAAATGAGCTTGACAGGGGAAACTAAAGGGACAGACCTTTTCCACCACAGACATTTTGTCTTGTCTTCACTGCAGGTAAAGGAGTTGTTGATACTTGTTGATATTGTTAATGTGGGGAAATCAAAGTTTGGGGGCTGACAGCAGGTCACGCAGCACTTTACTGCTTCTTCTATGTTTATGTTGAATGGATGCACTCATACTCTATGAGCACAGTTGCAGTAATGCACAGACAGCTTGTGACGGTAATGCACTGAAGAAGTTAGTGATGCAATAATGAATGAGGAGAAGAGGAGGAAAGACCACCAGCTGCTATAAACAAGGGCTTTGGGAATATTTTAGGGAGTGGGAAACAAATGTACCTCAACAGAGCATCTGTCACATCATCAGCTAAAAGCTCAATAACATCACCCCTGCAAGTCTAATATCATGGCTCATAACTTTTTTAGATACAGGCTCTCTGTGTATTCTGTTTCAGTTCTGGTGTATTTAGCTGGTGTTCACATGGTTATGTCTCCAACGTGGTGCTGGATGGTTATTTTCTATCTACACAGCTGACTCTGAACACAGCAGTCCTCACCAGAGTTGTTGTGTTTTCTTTTGTACCAAGCTCCATCCACGGATTTCTCCTCTGCATTCTTGTCTTCCTCAGCCAGCATCACCTCCTCTGCAACACAAACACACACTTGACTTTAATGTAGTCATGATTATATCATATTTGTTTTAACATCAATTATACTTAAGTTTTTTATTTGAATGTACCTTTAATGATTGCGTGCATGCGTACGTGTGTGCTTGCGTGCGTGTGTGTGTGTGTGTGTGTGTGTGTGTGTGTGTGTGTTTGACCTGCTTTGCAGATCCACTCCAGGTATCCAGTTAACTCTCTCTCTATTTGCTGTTGTCTGCGGAGCTTCAGGAACTCTTGCCTCTTCTCCACCCTTTCTCTCTCCTTGGCAAACTCCCTGTAGAACCCACAAAGAAACCACACACACACACACACACACAGAAATGTTTATTGGATCTGACAGGCCAACACAGACCCTGCAGCAGGTTGACAGGTATACAGCAGGCTGGCTTCCAGCAGGTAAGACATAGTCTGTGTCCTGTCACATTGTGGAACAGCTGAAGCTGAACTTAACATCAACAGCAGGTCTGTCTCATGATTACATCACAAGCTGATATCACTCCTGTCTCTGTCCTTCCTCTAAACAACATCCATCAGGTGCCATCAGTTATATGACTCATGAGTCTGATGACTTCAGACTTGACTTGATAATATGAAAGATCTGCAGTTCAACTCCAATGCCTCAAAATGTTACTTTTGACTTGATATCCTCACAGATATAAAATTAGGTCATACAAAAGTGTTTTCTTGAAAACAGATATACTTCGAATCGCTCTGACAACAACCAATCATGTTGTACAACCAGGAAGGAAAGGTGCTGACCAGCAGAAAGACACCACATGATCCAGATCATCACTCACTGAGACTGTGACAAAAACAAACGACAACGTGGAAAGTGTTTAGCTCATTTGTAAATGCGTCACAGACGTAACATCAGTTCTGTCAGATATTCTGAATGGAAAGTAGCCAAAAAGCAGCCAGCTTCATGCATATGCTGATTTGCATATGAGTGACATTATCACATGACTATTTGCATACACAGTAAATACAAGATGTAGCACTCCATACAAGAGTTTCTGGAAGATAAAATAGCTAATGAACTTTATAATCAGCTGTAATTATTCTACAAGCTGCTACCTCATCTGTATCTATCTTTATCTTAATCTACCTGCAGCCATTGTTTCTTGTCCTGCTGATAACCACTATGGTGGCTGAGCAAAGATGTCTGACTCTCCACCTCCAAAACAGATCAACACAAACAGATAAACTGAGGATTGTGTGAAACAAAGCAGGAGCAGCGTCTGCAGCCGCCTGGACATGAGGATGTGAAAAAATAGAACTAAGGTAACCAAATTATTTCCTTTTAAAGAAAAGCAGAGGAGAAGGAGAAACATTAGTGAACAGCATCTCCCTGATCTGCATCTGACAAAGGACTTAGTTGCATGTTGATCCCCATCTCTCTCTTTCCCTCCCCTTATTTTCTCTCATCTTTCTTCATAAAGGCTTAAAGATTAAAAACAAAAGCGCTGAAAGAATCTAGTAAGAAAGCTGCTAATAACATACTTTGCTATTAAAAGGTATAAAGTTTATTTGAAAGTAGTAAATACAAATACAAACATTTATCATGTCTGTAAATTTACCAAACTAATTGTTATTTCAATTTAATTACAATTGCATTAAATTTTGGTAACTTTTGTAAGAATCAGGTCTTTTTCTTAGTAGTTTTGGCAATCAATACTATCTTATATTAACATACTGGAAACGTCAATGTTATATCATATATATATATGATATAACATTGACATTTCCAGTATATATATATATATATATATATATATGTGTGTGTGTGTGTGTGTGTGTATATATGTATATATATATATATATACATATATATATGTATATATACAGTATAACATAACAGTATGTAATATATATGTTACACATTTTATATCCCACATTTTAATGATACTTAATGAAAAAATAATCAATTCAATGGAACCCTGATTGAATCACTGATGTATTGTGAGAACATTAAATGTCATCTATCTTATAACAGATAAAAAATGTCCATTGCCATTGTATTGCTTTGTCAACATTAAGGTTGAGGTTATTCCATAACAATAAGGCAGTTTTCAGTTTAAATGAGGTGAGTGGGAAATTAGATATGTGAGACGAGGCAGAAAGGGAGGGGTGGAGCAGAAGAAGAAACAGACAGAGAGAAAGAGACAGAGAGAGAGAGGAAGGCAGACTATTGAAATAACAGAGCAGGGGATCTCCAGTCCACCCCCACCCCTCAGTCATTGGTGTGTCTCCCACACAGCAGAGGGGGAAGCTCTATTCTGCATTGCAGTGGCTGCCTGCCTGCCTGGCTTCCTCAGGGTGTTTCTGTTTGTATATGAGCTGCCAGTGTGTCTACATCTCATTCTGTGGCTACACATCTTTCTCTCTGTAATGTGTGAGCAGTGCATACATGTGTGCTGGTTGAGTGTACAGTGTGTGTGTTTGAGTGAGCACTATATTGTGTGTATATATACTGTATATATACACACAATATATACAGTATATATATATATATATATATATATCAAAAACCAAGCTGTGCTCTTTTCTAGGTAATTGTATCATATCATTAATTGTAGTTGCTCTTTTTAGACTGAACATCTATATATTTCAGCTAATTGTAGGATATTATCAATTGTTTTGTCTGTTTGTTTTTGCTGCTGTTGCTGTCTCTTCTTAGACTATAAATCACAATCAATGTATTTATATATAATATGACATGCATGTATATAAAATATAATATAGTATTTGACTCTTTCATATCTGTAGCGTGTTGTGGTTTTATGATAATGAAAACTGACTGTTTTAATTACACTGTACAAGAGTTAGCAATAGCTATAAACTCTCTATGCAACACATCAGTTCCATGCTGATGAATTTTAATTAGTTCTCTCAAGACATTACTGAGATGTGACGTTCACGGGATCCGGACAGACGTACGACAGACAACCCACAATCATAATAACACTCCAGCCAGTTATTACGTAGCTTGAGAAGTTGTTCTAGCTAACATGTCCAAACATTTAAATGACATAGAGCAACACTATCATCCGATTTGAAGTGTGTGACACATTGCCAGCTAGGTGACAGTCAAAGTATAAGTCAAACAAGCTATAGATGTGAGAGGAGTTTGTAGATTAAGTGACTGTGGTTTAAACTTTGATCACACCCACATCTCATCCCACACTGTCCACACTGATAGAATAAATACTGAGTGAATGGCCCCTGGGGGTCTGCAGCCTCTCAACCCTGCATGTATCTGCTCTCATGCCTGCTCTGAAGCTCAGATCGTGGCCTTTAAACAATGACATGGCCCCCGCATGGCCCTGCCAGACAGCATCAGTGACCTTCCACCTCCAAAGTAACTGTAAGGCCATCTGACAACTTCTGTGGAGAGAGCAGGAAACAGGAACGATAATACAACCACAGAGGGGGCAGCTAAAGGCTACCTGCCCTCTACAGCTTCTGTCAAGCCTTTCTCTCTGTGTATACAGTACAGGATGGATGTACAGGATGTGAATATGAAGATGAGAGTGGCTAATGGCAAGATGGAGGTTGTAAACTTTAAACCTGAGATGCTTATGTGTAGAAATATATTAAACGATGGGATGTGAGAGCTGATGCACTAGTAGGATGCCTCAGTTCATCAGGCAAGGCCTTCTAAAGCTGTGGAGCAAAGTCTTGAACAAGGCTAATCTGGCCTAGAAATAAACAAGTCATGAGACCCCCAACGGGACCTCAGATAGTAAACAGGCTAATAGGGCATTTAGGGAAATAAAAGAAAAAATGATAAATTGATAAATAAATAAAATAATAGGGAAATAATAAAAAAAAAATAGGGAAGCAATTTTCTCACTACATTTGGTGAATTTTAAACCCTTCAGCTACTTTTATTTCATAAAGCTAGCAAGTTAGCAACATTTGATTTTTTGAGTTAACAATAGTGAATTTATTCCAGTGATGATACTACAGTTACAAAGTCTGAGCAACAGCCTGGATAAAACTGTTTTTTTGTATAAATAGGTAGTTGCTTCAGTTTAGTTTAATCTAATTATCTTTAGATTAAAAAAATAACAATCTTGTATGTATGTGCAGCTTTACTGAAAATAGCTGTCAATGCTGCTTCTGAGATGTAGCTGCAAATCTTCCAGGGAATGACATGGGGCCCCTTTAGGGAGGTTTCCTACTGAGATGTCATTGCAAACCACATGTTGGTTGTTTAAGTGGGAGAGAGAAAGAGAGAGAGAGAGAGAGAGAAAGAGGGAGAGAGCAGGACAAAGCGAATCAATGGTCCCTGTTGATATTGTAGTGGGTATGGTGTGGTACAGGTTCATATACTTGAGTGTTGTCAGAATAAAAATGAAACTTAATATTATAATTGTGAAGGGAGGGAGCATGTACCAAGAAAAAAGAACTTAACCCTGTGGTACCAAGTGAGTTTAGTAGCAGAGGAAGATTTCGTTATAGAAACAGGAAACGAACCATGATGAGATCAAGAGATAGACTAAAAGGACTGAAATGGAAGTGAGGAGGTAGTGAACTGTACAAGTCAAAATAAAAGTCAAGGGAAATAAAAGTGTTATATTAAGTAAACAAAAGAAGATAGGTGAATGAATAAATGAATGAATGAATGAATTAATTGTTTTGTACATTTAATTTACACATCATTCATTCATTCACCTATCTTCTAACATTACCCTGGTACAGTGTTGTGCATCACATTTTTAGTGAAGACTCAGACAGATTATATTTATATACAGATTTTAAATGTAACTCATGTCTGTGATTCTTCAGTGGTGTTCAATAATTCATTTAGTTTGGGAGTGGCAATGATTTGGGGCTGGTGATGGATGGTACAAGGAGGTTCTGTTGAAAGAGAATATCGGCCTTTACTTATTTAAAAAAAAATGGAACAAATGAACTTGAACTAGTTCATTTTTGGAACTGTGAACTGGAACAACACTGCCCTGGTATAAATCTTTTGCTTGTTTAATGTTACACTTTTATGTCCTCTTGGCTTTTATTTTGACTTTTTTACAGTTCACTTCCTCTTCCTGTCTTGAACCCAGCCCCGCTCCGTTAGTCTATATACTATCTCTGCCAATTGAGAAATGAAAGAATGAATTTGCAAAAAACAAGATTGGACCCCATTTTTAACTTTGGTTGTCTTGCTTTTTGTCTGGAAACAAAAAACGAATACACCATGTGATTTTCTAAAACAAAATTTCCATTTTGGTTTTGAAACAAATACAGATTTTTTTATTTTTTTTTTTTTCAAATTACAAATGAATTAATACTTATCTGATGATACCCAAACGCAGCAAGTGTTTCTGATAAGGATTAAATTAAGTATTAAAAACATTATCATTTTTTGTACTTTAAAATAATATCATCTAATGATACAGTTTAGAGTAAGAAATCTGCCTTTAAAAAAGCCACATCAGTTATCCTGCTCACTGGTTTGAGCTTGTTAGGAGCAGATAATCACAATGGCTTACACATTGTCATGATAAGATAAAAGACTGAAAAAACTCTGAGGAAAATTATGGACATTAAAATGACAGCAAAGTGAAACAAACACATTAATGGCTCCACTGATCTGACTTAGCAGTTTCTTCACTATAATCAAACTCCACTCCCAGTGGCACCCAATAAATTGCCGTTAAAATTAAGCAAACCAGAAAAAGTTGAGATGCATTATCATTCCACAAATTAAATGAAGTCTTTGAGGAACAGCAAGTCTGATTTAAAAAAGATTTCCACAGTGAGGAAATAGATTCCACAGCAGCAGGGAGAAACGTTACCTCATCAGTGAGGGCAGAGACGCCAGATGGAACATGGAGTACTGAGGCTTCTTTCAAAAATTAATGGCCTTAACATTAAGCAACAGGGGAGTGAATGGGAATACAACTCTGTCCTCATCTGTCCATCTGTCTGAATGAGCTGAAGTAGATAAAGAAAAAGAAGGAATAGCAGTTCCCACAAACAACAAAAGATTAACACTATATATCTAGATTTAAATTTATATATGTTAATTTGGGGAGAGTATGAAATAGAGTGCAAAGTAAGACTTGGCAGCTGGGGTATATAAATTCAAATTTAAATTTTACATGGGTTGATGAAATAGTTTGTTATTTTACACAAGGTTGACACTGACATAAAATTTGGGTGAGAAAAACAGAATGTACCTTTAAACCTCCAGTTACTTATTTACAAAGAAACATCAACTTTCATCATTTTGAGCCTAAAATTCACTCTCTTTTAGCTATGTTATTGTCTCTACCAATTCCTCAAGGAAATGTTTGGTTTTATAGATGCTTCATGCTCCACTTTGTTCAGCAGCTAATTGCTAAAAGTTTCTCCCATTCAGTGCTGAGCAGGTAGAGCACAGTGGAAATGATGGTATTAGCAGAGATAGTGAACTTAAACAGTAAAGTTGTGATCTGGACAGTATAAACCTCTGAAGAAAGAAAAGGAAACAGAGAAGAGAAATGTAGATTCAGGCGAGAATTCTCTGTAGGTTTATCACTGTGATGAGAGACACTTTTCACATACACTAGGTCAAAGTAGTAACAGTAGTGTCAGCTGGTTTCAGCCTAGTGTCAGCTGGTTTCAGCCTAGTAATAGCTGGTTTCAGCCTAGTGTCAGCTAGTTTTGGCCTAGTGTCAGCTGGTTTCAGTCTAGTGTCAGCTGGTTTCAGTCGAGTACCAGCTGGTTTCAGCCTAGTAATAGCTGGTTTCAGCCTAGTGTCAGCTGGTTTCAGTCTATTGTCAGCTGGTTTCAGTCTAGTACTCGCTGGTTTCAGTCTAGTGTCAGTTGGTTTCAGTCTAGCGTCAGCTCCGCTGGTTTCAGCCTAGTGTCAGCTGGTTTCAGTCTAGTACTAGCTGGTGTCCATGCTGGTTATTTAACCACACACACACATATATATATATATATATATATATATATTTATGCATTCAGCTGACCAATGGTGGAACTATAATCACTCAGTCAGTCAGTCACAGACATTGGCTGGTTGCACAAGAGTTGAGGATGGGCAACAACACCCAGGGACTGCTGGTGCTGAAGAGAGAAGATAATAACTGCAA